AGCTAGGTTTAGGTTGCTATCCCAAGCAACAGTGTCAGAACATTATCCCAAACTGCGTGTCAGGCACAGTCTGCAACGCCGGTGAGGCATCCATACTAATATTCACCTAACTTGTGCCTAAAACGGATTGGTTAGTCGAAAATTATCTGATGGTGACGCCCCTTCAGAAAAAGAGGCCTGCACGCCACTTTCTAATTTTGCTCCGCGACGATTGTAATGGTGAAGGCGACCGTCCATCGGCATCGCGCCGACAATCCACATCAATCCGCCAACCTTCTGTCCTGTTCTCTAATTCTAAATGTTCAGCAACTCCTCGACACTGCTGAAACGTAAAAACGGTTCGCGAAGCCAATTGACATGTTAACGGTTTGGCACGAAAACAAGGAACTTATAGGCGGCCAGAGAGGAGGAAGGTAGGGGGAGCGCGGTGCTGCTTTCCTTCACTGTGTGCGCGTTTTGAAATCGTGGGTTTGGTGAGCTACGAGGGTACTATGTTATGCATTCTAAATATTTTCTTCCACTTGGACGGAACATAATACGAGGTGTTGCAACAAGGTGCAACACTATCAGTTGGAGTCGATAGCCCGTTAGGAGCTCCCGTCACGGTTTGTGCCAACTCGTTTACATGCACTGATCATGTTTAACCGAGGCCGAAGCACTCAGATCAGTTTTAAAATGTGAAAGATGCGACGAGTACATATCGGCTACAGCTTGATATCGTCTGTACTATTGACATGACTGATGAAACTGTGCGCGACGTAGACCCTAACATTGAGTAGATTCCGACAATTCGGCAGTCTGACAAAAATATATGAAAATTGGAAGAAACATCTGTAGAAGTATAGCTGGGCCATACTGAAAGTATTGCCATATTTATGTTAGAGGCTGTATTGCATCTAGATAATGCAGCCAGAATATTGTCCGTTTAGAAGAGCTATAACCTAAAATATTGTCCACTGTTCTAGGTATAACTGTCACGATGACAAATGTTATATAATCCTGGGAGGCTTAGGAGGATTCGGCTTGGAATTAGCCGATTGGGTGATTATGAGAGGCTGTAGAAAATTAGTGCTAACTTCCAGAAAAGGGATCACTACCGGCTATCAGGCATACAGAATTAAGTAGGTATTATTCTTCACATCACTCATGAACCAGGAACACATTTCCTCACTTCACCCATGTTGATGGAAACATAAAGAATGTCGATTGAAGTAGGGCATCTATCTTAGGATATGGAAAACTTATGGTGTTGACGTACATGTATCGACTGCGAACGTAGCTACGAGGGAAGGTTGCAGACAACTTATAAAGGAAGCACAGAAGCTGGGTCCGATAGAGGCTATTTACAACCTTGCTGTGATACTACAAGACGCCATATTTGAAAACCAAACCGCTGAAGCATTTTCTACTGCTTTTGGGCCAAAAGCAAGAGCTACCAGATACTTGGATGAGGTGACTAGAGAAATGTGTCCTGATCTTAGGTGAGTATTTGGTTATCTATACATTACAAGGTATTTCAGAAAAACTTAGCAAAATTTATAGGACAGATAGTACATCCGAAAATTCCTATAAACATAGGTAGGATCCCAAAATATCCTACTATAAGGATACAGTTTATTGCATATTCATAAGCCAGTAATATCAATCAATAAGAAGAAACGCGTACATTGTTTAAATAATTATGGTAAGCAAGAATCACCCTTCTTATAGACCAAATACAAGTTAGACTATCAAACTAAATTCAACCAATCTTCAAAGTGGAACATGTTCTGTAAAGGTCAAAATTGACCGATTTTCACGCTTCTGGCATGGTCTCAGTTCTATATGTGTTCCCAGATGTACAAAATTTCAAGTCAATATCTTAATCCGCCCCTAAGATATATTGTTTTTATTTCGAAATTATAATTTCAACACACTGTATCTCGGTAAGGGGGCGTGTTGGGACCCAAGATTATGTGGACTTTACCTATCATTACCTATTTTTTATTTACTTTATGTCCTTAATAGTCTAATCATATTAGCAAATTTCCCCAAAATAATTGTGTCTGGTTTTATTGGTGCAAGTTGTTTAAGGTGGTATTTAAAACAGGGACGCATAAAATGGGTACACCAATTTTTGTGGAAAAACTTTTTGTTTGACAACAAATAATGAGAAAACGTGTTTTTTTGAGATTCAATCGTGTTGAGAGGAACGAAAAACTTTTCATATGAGATTTTTAGGTATTGATGAGACCTACAAAACGCGACCACATGTAAAAAGATCCGACTAACAGCAAAAATGTTATGGCCGAAAAAAGAGGTAAAATGCAGGTTTTTTGGCAATGCGACGATAATTTCACGCACGAACTTGAAATTCTGCAAATCTGTAAGATACATACTTCTAAATAACAACAACAAAATTGGAGTAGGTTGGTCAAGTAGTTTGTGTAAATTTCTAATTGTTTATCCCATCGCATCTGTGTTTTCCGGCCATCACTACTAGTTTTTTTGAGCAATATACATGGGTTAGTTCAAAAGGCATTTTATAGCAAAATACCCATGTTTACCTTACCGATATGAATCATAAACCATTCCGAAAGATAGATGTTATTTTTATGCGAAAAAGAATGGGTTACGTTTTTTTCTTCTAAACAAATTCAAACATTTCGTATTTGTGAGTAATTGAACAAATGCGCTACGATATTCGAAAAATATAAGGTATTGTACGCATTTCAAAACAAAGCGGATGTGTCTATCATTTTTTGTTGCGAATTACTCACCAATATGAAATGTTTGAATTTGTTTAGAAGAAAAAACGTAACCCATCCTTTTTTTGCATAAAAATAACATTTATCGTCCGGAATGGTTTGCGATTTATATTGGAAGGTAAACTAGTGTATTTTACTATAAAATGCCCTTTGAACGAACCCTGTATATTGCTCAATAAACTTGTAGTGATGGCCGGAAAACAGGTGTTTTGGGATAAACAATTAGAAATTCTCAAAAACTACTTGAGTAATCTACTCCAATTTTGTTGTGGTTATTAAGAATTACAGATTCTACGAATTTAAAGAATTTCAAATATTTTCGAGCATAACTTTTTTGCTATTAGTCGGATCTTTTTACGTGTGATCTCACTTTATAGGTCTCCTAAATACCTAACATGAAGAGTTTTTTCATTCTGCCAACACTTTCGATTGAATCCCAAAAACACGTTTTCTCATTATTTGTTGTCGAATAAAAAGTTTTACCACAAAAATTGGTGTACCCATTTTATGCGTCCATGTTTTGAATACCCCATTGAACAACTTACAGCAATAAAACGAGCTTTTACAATTATTTCGCAAACCAGGGGTATTATTGTCTGATATGATTATACTATAAAATAGGTGAGCCGATTCTTAGATTTATTCTGCCAAAAATGATCCTTTTGCAACGTAGCTGGTCAAATTATGTTCTACTTTATTTTTCGTTGACGTCTTTTCAGAGATTTCGTTATATTTTCTTCGGTATCGTGTGGTAGAGGAAATGCAGGTCAGACAAATTATGGTATGGCAAATTCTATAATGGAAAGAATTTGCGAGAAACGAAGAAGAGATGGATATCCAGGATTAGCTGTCGAATGGGGAGCCGTAGGAGAGGTAACATGCATTTTCCAGTGATTTTTTCTCTTCAAAATATAGGTACAACTTATGAAAGCACAGGTGCTGTCAAAGTTTCTCCTGATGTAAGTACATGAATAATCTGTGAATGAACTCAAACTTTGAAACCATCTCTTCCGTTTCATTGGCCAATAAATAAAGCACTGCGCTGATTCAATCCGTAGGTCAATTCTTGAGACGAGACAGTAGAATAACAAATAGAAAGCGTAGGGCTCTAGTCTTTAACATCCGCAGAAGAGTCGCTCCCCATATCAGTTTTAGAAGGCATTTGCTGATGTCTTATCGTTATCCGTCAGTCCGACTTCTAAAGGTGACGCCACCTTTGTGATAGACCATTTATTGATATGAAAACATATTTTGCTTTCACAGACTAATTCGACTAACGTCAGAAATACAATAAAAGCTGTCAGATACCGGTTACTCTAGCCCCTCGTTTTCAAGAAATGAGATCCTTGAAGGATCTCAGGATGAACGTACTCCATACTCCTTCCCCTAATGCAACTTGACCATGAGTACTCTACATACGCTCAGTCTTAAATGATAGTGTGTTTCGAAACATAATGGAAACATCACCAAGAATAAAAAATCAAATTTAACGCTATTCGATTGCTAATGCTACATACGCCTTGTTTACAGCATAATTGAAGTACAAGAAATTAATAACAGTTTAAAAGGTTTACATTGTGAGACAACAACAGTGTAGGTCCAAGGTAGCTAAGTATAATACCCATATGGTCCAAGAACAAGCCAAACGAAAAACATAAAAAACACAGTTCACTAGTTTAGAGAATATCGATTAGATCTTTACTATGAACATTTAACGTCATCGGACAGATTGGTCACAAATCATAATTATAATTACAAGTTAAGCTTAGCAAGCTTATTTATATCCTTTCATGCCATAAATTCATTTCAGGTAGGCCTAGTAGCAGAAATGCAGACAGAACATCACGAAATAGAAATAGGCGGTACCTTGCAACAGAGGATATCCAGTTGTATGGATACTTTGAATATATTCCTTCGACAAAATGAAGCCCCAGTCGTATCCAGCACTGTGGTAGCAGAAAAACGAGGCGTTGGTGATGCAGCAAGTGTTACAGATGTAGTATTATTCATTTTAGGTATGCTTCTTACTTTTTTGGTACCTATCTACAAAGTACAACAAGATATAGACCGTCCCAAAAGATATGTTGATTTTTTCTTTGTAAACTAGTGCAAAATAGGCAAACTTATTAGCGCCTTGACAAAAAGGTAGCTCTTCTGTAACTTCTTGCTACCATTTCTTACCAAAAAAATATTTTTATAGGTGTCGAAGATCCAAAGTCTGTGAGTCTCCATTCAACGTTACCTGAACTGGGTATGGATTCTATGACAAGCGTTGAGATTAAGCAAACATTAGAAAGAGAATTCGAAATATTCCTGTCGCCAAAAGACATTAGAAGCTTAACATTGGCTAGGTAATGCTCATTTCTACCGTTAGTTCCTTAGATACTCAGAATCGCGGAACTGGAAAATACTTCGGCTAGCAAAAGTGCAGTAGTGTGCACATCAAACATAGCTGATTATACATATGTAGTAACATTTCAACTATCAGATAGTGGTTGATCACATTTTGCCTGCGTACTGCCATAGCAAAACAATGATGTCGGTAGCCAAGCGCCTAGATCACCATAGCTCTGTACATCAGCGTTTCTCAACCTTTCGCCATTCCTGACCCAATTTTCAATAATTATGTTCACCGCGCCCCTCCAACAATGTGTGTATACAATAATAATGTACCTTGAGTATTTTGTCGCTAAACAAGTAAATTTATAGATATTTCGCAACGCCGATCTGCTGCATTGGCAAATCTGGAATCAATGCCTCTCTTCGCGAGAAGTTCCGAATTATTCCGAATATTCTCGACCGTCTGCGCGTACGTGTATACACGCCGCATCTCGTCAATTCTAGTCGGTCACGGTCTAGTCAGTCGTTCAGTTTGTGCTAAATCTATTGTGAATGCGTAGATTGTAATTTGCGTGTTGATTGCAGTTCACGGCATTGAAATATATATATATCCCCAACAGTAAATTGAAATTTTTCCAAAATCATGGATGGATTTTTAAGTGGGCTTAAGCGAGCATTCGATACTCTAGTGAATCATCAACAAGTGCACAGGCGAGAGAGGTTGCAAAACTAAAATCAAGACAATATTCTTAAGAATACTTAAATTCTGGGTTTACATGTACTGAAATCAATGAAAAAAAGAGGACTCTGTGTCTCATTTGCTCAAAAACTTTAGCACCAGATAGCATGAAACCTACTAAACTTAAACGACAGTAGGAAACGCGTTATAGTGAGTACCTTAACAAACCCCGGAAATTCTTCAAGTTAAAATTAAAATCCTACGGAAACCAAAAATCATTTTTAAAAAAACGTTGACTGTGAATGAAATACATTTAGGTACTTGCCTCTTATAAAGTTTCATATGAAATAGCCAGATGTAAGTCACCTCACACTATTGGTAATGAGCTTATTTTGCCTGCTCCAATTAAAATTGTGGAAACTATGTTTGGAGGTAATATTGTCAAAAAATTGGAGTTCATACCTCTATCGAATAATGCGGTTGCCCGTCGAATTGGTGATATAGCTGAAAATCTTCAGCATCAGCTACTCGGGAAGGTGCGAGACGAGTTGTTTTCAATTCAGCTTGATGAGGCAACGGACAGCAATAAAGAATCGCATCTTATTGCCTACATTCGATTTTGCGATGGCATATCAGTAGTAGAAGAACTACTTTTCTGCAAACCTATAGGATGCAAAGCAACAGCTCTCGCATTATTTGCTATCTAAATGATGATCTGAATGACGATTTTTTGAAAGTATACAAGCCCTTGTGAAACAAATTGCATGATTCACAGAGAAGCTCTGGATTTCAAAGATATGTCTCCTGGCATGAATATTGTGCTAACTATGGTTGTAACAGTAGTTAGTTACATAAAAATGAGACTTTTGAAAACTAGAATCTTTTATGCACTTTGTAAAGATATGGGTGCAGTACATTCAGCATAACTATTCTATTGCGAGGCAAGATGGTTATCACGTGGGAAATGTTTACAACGTGTTTTCGAATTAAGACATGAAATCGCCGTTTTTCTAGAAGAAGAAAACCGATCGGAAGCCGAGATGTTTCGAGATGGTTTATTTCTGATGAAATTGAGCTACTTGGTCGACACATTCGAGAAACTAAATAACTTGAATCTTCAGCTCCAAACACCAAATGCACATTATGTTGGATACGAGTGATAAAGTTAAAGCTTTTTATAGAAAATTGGAATTGTTTAGCAGAAATTTAAGGCAGAAAAACCTGGAAATGTTTGCAAATTTGGATTAATGTATTAAAACTTACAAGGTAGAGCAGGACAAGAAAGTTGTTTTCGTAACCATTGAAAATCATTTAGCGATGCAGACAAAGAATTTTAAAAAATATTCTCTTGCCGACGACAAATTAATACTTAGTTTCGAGTTGGTTAGGAATCCATTTCAAATTACTCGAAGGGCTCTCATCTGCCGAAGAAAAAATCTTCATAGACTTGACGACAAACACCGAAATCAAGAAACAGTTTAATAATAAATCCCTCTTTGAATTTTGGGCAGGCGTGAACGATGAGTTTTCGGCACTGAAAACCAGAGCGTTTCGTATACTACTACCATTTTCAGCATCCTACCTTTGCAAAACAGGATTTTCGGCAGTGGCTGCTTTGAAGACCAAATATAGATCGCACATAAATATAGAAAAAAGAACGCAGGGTGTCTATTTCAAATATTAAATCTTGCTTCGACAGGCTTTGCTCGGCAAAGCAGGCCCAAGGGAGTCACTAGTAATTATTATTATTTTACAATTAATATTATTAAACTTATTTTTAACTTAGTATTGATAAATGCAGTCCAGTTTATAAGTGTACCTACTATAATATCAGTGTAAATGTGTATTTTATTTTTGTTTATGTCAAATTTTTTTTCTTTCCTTTAAGTAAATTATTCAATGTTTTTAGTGTTCTTTTTCTGATATGCTCGCCCCCCTCCCCTTTAATAATAACATGCCCCCTAGGGTGCGCGCCCCACTGGTTGAGAAACGCTGCTGTACATAAATATTGTTCTATGCCCGTTTATGCAATGTGCTATGCGTGACTATGCACCATGTATGCTACCTACGGTGTAATCCTTGACATTGTGTGAGCCCGCCTTCAGCGGAATACCCCTTAGGCAACTTTTAGGAGCGCTTTTTGTAAAGCCGCTAGGAACATGTCAAAAATCGTCAAGCAGCTTTAAAGCTGTACCGTCATTAGACATACACTTTTAATTTCAAGAATTGTATGGCGTGCTTTTTAAAAGTGTCAAACGTTATGTCTCTATGAATGTAGCTCAGATAATACTTCTGAACTCACCTTTCTTTGTAACGGTTTTCAGACTGAAAGAAATTGAACTGGAGAGATACGAGGGTGGTTCATCAGATACAGCTGCAGCAGTTGCAACTGACAGTCGTGTAGATCTAGGTCTGCAGCAAGTGTTGAGGATGCTAGGAGACATAGACGATATCAAGAAGCAAATTATAAGTCTTAAATCGAGGCTAAATGAGGACGAATCAGGTCCAACAGTATTCTTTTTGCCCGGAATTGACGGTTTCGCCAAAGGAATGGACAATCTTGCCAGCCACTTGGATGTTCACGTTCTTGCGTTACAGTATACTCATAATAAAAAGCTTGAGACTATACAGGACGTGGCCAAGAGCTTGGTACCAGTAAGTCTGCATTTTCTGTAAATAAATCCTATAGATACACAAAACATGTTAACAAGAATTTGCGATATAGGAAAATGGGCGCTGACGGAAGCTGAATCCTTATTTTCTCCATTCCATGGCAGGTGACCTTGACCAATAGGCCTACAGCCCAATCTGTCAAGAACTCTCAGGGTCAACTTTCTAACCGAAATCAACTAGCGACAACAACCCGAAGGTAACCCGACTCGCCACATATTCAAATACAAGCAACAACAAAAAAGCAACAACAATCCGACGATTTGCTAAACGGCTGGGTTTGCAGTTGAAAGATATCATTTGTGAATTTTATTGTGGCACTTCATAACCACAATAAGTGATTTATAATGGGACAAATGTAGCTCTCCGTCGCGTTTTTTGAGGCGTCCTTTGAAGTTCTTTAGTTGGTGCTGGTACTGTTGAAAACATTCTAGGGGTTTATTGATATGATAGAAGTGAATAACCCAGAGAAAGTGAGGTTCTCTTACCATTCAAGGATCTGTATTCCCGAACACTGGTAGAAAACTCGTTTCCCGACCCATTATTGGGAGAAAAGTGCGGAAGTCTCGCCATCATCAGTAGTCCCGTATCCAAATACCTGTATGTCGAATTATATGAACGACCTGTTTGATGAACATCAACAGCTGTCAGAATTTGTAATCACTACCCAGGCAGCATTTTGTTCTGCTGCGCTTATAAATTAATACCATAAGGTAGTGGTCGGCAACCTTTGAGAGTCAAGTGCCCCAAGAATTAATTAAATTAATTAAAAATGAATTATATTACCCTATTTATAAAAATAACGAACAATAACGTGAAAAATAAACAACCACTTCATATAAATTTTTTTATGTAAATTGAATAATCATTTATTTATTTATTTATTAAGTATATCCAGGCATATAACACTCGAGACAATAAAGTTGCAAAACCGCGCGATGCCGACCCCTGCGCCGAGACATTTAAGTGACAACAACAACTGTACCAGTTGACAGTTAATGCTGTGGGCCAATGTCATCGTGCCCAATCTTGCTCCCGTTAGGCGACGCTAGGTAGGTTGGAAGTCTAACTGTCAAAAGTAAATGGGAAAAGGTCGATTTGATAGCAAGGTAATGTATTCTCGACTTCATCATGTTTTATCGTATATTGATGTGATCATCTGATCAGCAATTGACATCACTGCCTATTTGTAACCTTAGACATGAGATTCGTTAAGGTCGCCTTTCACGACATGAGGCCACTGATCCCGCTAGCGCTCATTTTTCCTACCTTTCAACTTGTTTTCCGAATATTTGTTGCTACGGATGCTTTTATCAGACGAATCGTACACATAGGTATATCAACCTACGTTTTGATCAGTTCCTCTTTTGGAATAATACTCTTAAGTTTTACGTCAAGTTACATCTGGAATTCTAAGAACGGCTTTATTCTTACAGGTTATTACGCAACACCTAAAAGCTAACCAACCTCTAAGGATAGTAGCCTATTCATATGGTACCCTTATAGGCTTGGAGCTGTGTAGTGTCTTGGAGTCCATGGGACATACCGGAAGCCTGATTTGCTTGGATGGAACACCAATGTTATTGAAGAGCTTCATGAATATATTGCTATCTGCTTCTTCGGTGGATCAATTTCAAACTGAACTATGTCTCTACATGCTGAATTT